CACAATAAATAAATGTTAAAAAAAATTTAAAAAAAGACAAGGGATGCTCTAGTGGTGCTGGAACACCACCTCTTTGTCCCCTGACCTGGTGGCTGTTCGCCTTGTCCCTTCTCCCACCTGCGTTGTCATTACATATTGTTGGGCTCCTGAAGGGCAGGAGCCATGTTCATTCCTCACGGAGGGGCCACCTTTGGCACGTGGAGGCACTGGACTTCCTGTGAACATGCACTCATTAAATGAGAGAGCAAAGACTACACCACTTGGGAAACTAGAGTGCCTGAGCCACTCCCTTTCCCCAAGGGTTGTGCAACCCCTCCACCTCCTGCCGCTTTGTGTTCTGGGCTTGTCACTAGCTGCTGCTTCAGTGACCTTGGTAGCAGTAAGAGCCCATGGTGGAGCCAGAGCCTTTTCCGAAGACAACTGGCCCCCCATCCCTGGGTCGCAGAATTCTCAGTACATTCATCCTTCCTCAGCCAGTCAGCGTGTATCTTCACCCAGTTACCAAGCGCAAGCACAGGTCGGTTGGGGGCTGGCCTAGATGCTCAGGATACATCAGGGACCAAAACAAAGTCAGCCCTCACCCGGGAGCTCTCATCTTCCTTCCTGCTCCCCCTCCCCCTTGCATTCCCAAGCCGGGGGGGGGGGGGTCCCAAATGTGTGCTAAATCCCACATGCCACACTGTGCTTATTCCATTTTGCAGACGCAGCTCATGTACAAGTGGGCACAGCCAAAAATCTGTGATGAGGACATGGAGGGGGCAGTGAAGCTCCCAGCCTCTGGCATGAAGACCGTCTGCCCACCCTGCAACCCCGGCTTCTTCAAAACCAGCAACAGCACCTGTGACCCCTGCCCTTATGGCACTTACTCCAATGGCTCTGGTAAACCCTCCTGCCCTGGTGCCCACGTGGCATCGAGCCCTATCTCCACTCTGTGGGTGGGTCGTGCGGACACGGAGTAGTAGTTGAACACTGGCAGCGGAGGCAGTAAAGAATGAGCCAGCTCTGGAACCCAGAATCAGGAGAAGGGAGGTCCGGGCTAAGCCTGGCTGTTGGTCAGGGCCCTTTGCACTGCATTTGCAAATGTATCCTGGGCCTGAAAGAACTCGCAGCAGAGGCTTCCGGTACGGGGCAGAGCTGCCAACTAGAAGGTGCGAGGGTGGGGCTGAGATGACCGACTTGACAGAACTGGAAGCTGTAAGCCACGCTGTAAAAAATGAGCTGGGAGATAAGTACACATATTGTATCTTAAAAACAATGCAATGAGAGTGTAAACGATGTGTGTCAGTGTAGAAGACGTACCAAAACTTTGCAGTGAAAATTTTGGTGGTCGAGGACGATGTTTGGACTATTAGCGTGAAGGGTCAGCATTTACATCTCGGGCTCACTGTCTGAATGCTTTGGGGTCAGCTTCCGGCAGGGAGGTGGCAGCCTTCCCCTGAAGGATGGGTCTTGTGGTATCCCCAGATTGTACCAACTGCCCGGCTGGAATGGAGGCTGTCCTGGGGTACGAATACAAATGGTGGAACATGCTACCTGCAAACATGGAGACGACTGTCCTCAGTGGGATCAACTTTGAGTACAAAGGCCTGACAGGTGATTGCCTCTCTGCACTCCCACCAGGGCTTTTCCCAGTTCCTGGTTCTTCATAATAGTGATGTCTGAGAAAAATGAGCTGACCATGTCATATGTTCCCTTGAAAGTTCTGTTCCTGTGCGCATCTATTCTGTCAGGGCTTATTTCAGAGATAGAAAGAGAGCTCAATACAGCACACATATGCCCAAAAGGTCTTTCTTGGAGCGCTTCAGTCTTAGCCTGCAGCAGCAGGGGAGTGAGTACCTGCTCATTCGGCAAGCTCCGGTGCCTCAAAGGACAGAGCCACGTCTCCCTTCCGCAGAGTCATCTCGTGTGCAGTTGTCCTGCATCCATGAGCACAAGGGCATTAACTGTCCCTTTTCTTTTCCAGGCTGGGAGGTGGCTGGTGACCACATCTATACAGCTGTTGGAGCCTCCGACAATGATTTCATGATTCTCACTCTGGTGGTGCCAGGATTTAGGTGAGGAATAGAAAGCCAAGGTGAAGCCCATGCCAATGTGGCCACATCCAAATCCCATGTGCTTCAGCCTGGCGTAGAGGAGAGGGCTTCTGGGGCTGGGTTCCGCTTCATTTCAGACGCCCTCACAGAGCAGAGGGAGGACAGTGACGCTTTGACTTGGTTGACCCGGACGCTGCCACATTTTCTTAGTTGCTGCCCTTGCTAATTTATGCACCTGTGCTTCAACACTGATTGGCCACATCAAATAGGACTTTAAAACCTTTTAAAAATAGAGCCAGAGGTATCTACAGTGCATTTCTACTTGGGGCAGGAAGATTGAGAAAGGTTTGTCTTACCTTACATTTGTCCCAGCAGCTTAGGAGGACAGGATAGGACCACATGCAATTTGTTTGCAATTAAGACAAAAAGGTTGGGGTTATTGTTCAGAGCTAGAGTATTTGACTAGCATGTGAAGGGGCCCAGGACCATACACACACAAAATTTGTTTTAAAAAATTAAAAACAAAGCACTTGCCTGGCAAGTGCAGGGTCCTGAGTTCAATCCCTGGTACCACAAAAAAAAAGTAAAAAAAAAAATAAAAAATTAAAAACATAACAAACAAACCAAAGAATGCCAGACAGTACGATATAACGGACAGAGCACTGGCTGGGAGACAGGACGCTTGAACAGCCAAGCTGCGCTTCTCGGCAGCCTGGCGAGCTGGGAGGCTCGCTTTGGCGCTCCGGGCTCAGGCTCCCCACCTGGCACACTCATCTGCCACGCAAGACGAGCTCAGGTTGTAATGGTTCTTCTTGCGCGTTGCTTAGCACAGCTGTGTAGAAGGCCCTGCGAACTGCAGCTCCGTGGGCTGCAGGCAGACGGCTAAAGCTCCAGCCGGGCGTGGTGGTGCGCACTGTTAATCCCAGTACTCGGGAGGCCAAGGCACGAGTATTGCCATGGGTTTGAGCCCACCCAGGCTACAAAGTGAGTTCAAGCCCAGCCTGAATTAAGTAGCAAGACCTTGTGGCAAGAAACCAAAATAACAGACACAAAAACAAATCAAAACAAAACAGACAAAAAACCAGGAAAATCCATGTGTGGATTTCTAAAGCCAAAATGAACTCTTCAGTTGTGAATGCTTTGAAGGTGAGGAAGAGCCACCGAATGGGCTCTTTATTGCCAAGTCACTCTTCCTGGGAAGTCCCTGCTTTTCCTCCCTGGGATAGTGGTCAGCCAGTGGCACTTGTTCAAAAAGTATTGCTTCCTCTTTCCTTAACCCGCATGACCTGGCTAGGCCAGAGAGAGCCTACGCTTGCAAGATGGCAAACTTGGGCTTCGTGGACTCTATTCCAACGAATGCTTTCCAGTTTGTAAATCTGATGACCATATGTGTTAGTCAGCATTCTGGTACTGTAACAAAATGGCTGGCATGACCAGTGTCACAGAGACTGTTTATGTTGGCTCGCAGTTCCAGGGCACGAGCAGGTGGCTCAGTTGCTGTGGGCCTGTGGCGAGGCCGCATAGCATGATGGGAAGCAGGTAGTGGAGTGGACCGCTCACCTCAGGACAACCGGAAGCAAGAAGAAAGAGGGTATTCCTGTGATCTGACTTCTTCATGAGGACCTACTCTTAGAGGTTCTACTGCCTTCCAGTAGTGCCAGAGGCCAGGGACTAAGACACACAGGCCTTTGGAAGACATTTATCATGGCCATAACTCCAAAATAATGTGCTTCCTCACCCAACCTTGGCCTGCTTGGACATGGCTCTTGCTTTCTCAAAAGACAAACAGAAGACACTGGCTTCAGACACCTCAGAAGCCAGTGTCTTCTGTTTGTCTCATATAAGCCTGACAAAGCTGAGTAACTACACAGTTTGCATCCTGTGATGGTGCTTCTCCAACTTGAGTGTGGATTCAGACTACCTGGAATCCTGGTGACGTGCAGATTCTGATTCAGTGACCTAAGGAGGGCCTGAGGTTTTGCTCATAAGGCATGTCCATGTTATGCCTTTAGATCTCACTATAATAACCTCTATTTTTTAAAAAATGTATTTGTACAAGGTCTCACTATGCAGCTCGGACTTCTAGTGATCCTCCAGTTTTCAGCTGGTATTACAGGCGTGCACCACCCCACCTGGTCTCAATGGCCAGCTTAGTGCGCCCCAGGGGCGGGCATGTGGTGCCCGGGATGGAACCCCAGTCCCTAAGCAGGCATTTAGTAGGCTGAGCTATCTCGCCGGCCCTACAATAACCTCTATTTTAGAATTGAAGGGACTAGTTTGGCTAGGGCAAGCTCTAATGGTGTGGATGGCAGAACTGAGCTTGGTCCAAGTCCTTCCCACGTACTCAGAACCTAATCTTGTCCCCAGGTGACTCCCTGCTGCTGTCTGGACTCTTCAGTAAGCACTGTCTGGCTTCTGCAACTGACCTTAAAATTTCTGCCCACACAGACCTCCACAGTCAGTGACGGCAGACACAGAGAATAAAGAGGTGGCAAGGATTACGTTTATCTTTGAGACCATCTGTTCCGTGAGCTGTGAGCTCTACTTCATGGTGGTAGGTTTTCCTTTCTTTGCTGTCTATGGGGCTTCCAGGCAGAGTTGGCCCCGTGTGCCCCCGGGATAAGTCACATGATGGATGCCTGCCAACAGTAATTCACAGAGGAAAGGCCTGGAGTGCCTTCCAGGACCTCCAGTTTCCCATGGGTCTAACCAGCTATGATAGCCTGCAGAATGACAGTGGGATGGTCACCCCCACCCCTCCGGCCACCATACCTTCCTCACTTGTCTGTCCTGCTGGGTTCAGGGCATGAATTCAAGGACCAACACCCCGGTGGAGACATGGAAAGGTACCAAAGGCAAACAGTCCTACACCTACATTATCGAGGAGAACGCCACCATGAGCTTCACCTGGGCCTTTCAGAGGACCACGCTTCATGACACAGTGAGCTGCTTCTCCTACCCGACCTTCCCCCTGCGAGCTCACGTAGGAGCCCAGGCTTTCGAATCCAGGGGTCAGGAGGGCCTGCAGGAGTCCTGCCAAGAACCGCCTAGTGCAGTCCTCCGAGCATCAACCCAGCCTTGTCTCAGTGACCTCCAGGGACGATAACATCTCGAGCACCTTCAGTTTGGTTCACCTGGCTCTCCTCGCAGTCTCAGCCCATGGTGCAGTCAGACCTGTTGTTTTTAGTAATAATTGTTTTCTTAAATCAAATTGGGGCTGGGGAGATAGCTCAGTAAGATAAGCGCCTGCCTGGCAAGCACAGGGTCCTGAGTTCAATCCCTTATAATGGAAGAAAGAAAGAAAGAAAGAAAGAAAGAAAGAAAGAAAGAAAGAAATCAAATCAGTGCAGGTTTATTAAAGAAAACTTAGAAAATAAAATAGATATAAGCAACAAGAAATAAAATCTGTCAAAATTGGGCCGGGGAGATGGCTCAGTGGAATAAGTACTTCCCTGGCAAGCGCAAGGGCCTGAGTTCAATCCCCAGTTCTTCCAAAAAAGAAAAAAAAAAAAAACCTGTCAAAATCATAATAACCAGAGATAGCCCAGTAAATGTCTGAAATATCTCCTATATAGTCTTTGTTTTTTGACAAATACATGCATTTCCCCTAATTATAAAGAGAAGTCTTGCCTTTTTCATGTAAATGTATCCACTACAGAGTTTCCCATGGTACTTACTATTTTTACAGGTAACTTAAAATTGAGTCGTTCTTGGGGGGCCGGGAAGATGGCTCGGTGGATTAAGTGCTTCCTTGGCAAGTGCAAAGGCCTGAGTTCAATCCCCGGTTCCGCAAAAAAAAAAAAAAAAAAAAAAAAAAAAAGAGTGATTGCTAAGTGAGTAAAAAGAGCAGGCTGCCTCTAGGGTTTTTCTCCAGTGCCATGGGATAACACATTAAGAAGCACTTTGTCATTTCCACCATTGCCACTAACTCAGGCCTCCACTGTCCCCCTCTTATTTCCTTGTCCCCAGGGCAGAAAGTACACCAGTGACGTTGCCAAGATCTACTCCATCAATATCACGAATGTCATGGACGGGGTGGCCTCCTATTGCCGCCCTTGTGCCCTGGAAGACTCTGACATGGGCCCCTCTTGCACTTCTTGTCCCGCTGGTTACTACATTGACCGAGATTCTGGAACCTGCCATCCCTGCCCGCCCGATACCGTCCTGAAAGCTCACCAGCCTTACGGGGCCCAGGCCTGTGTGGCTTGTGGCCCAGGGACCAAGAGCAACAAGGTGCCCGCTGCCTGCCTTGTACCCTAACCTCGGCCCCCTGGTTGGATGACCTCAGGGGGTGTGGGGTCCCGGATGGGGTTCTTGGGGGTGGGTCCCCCAGGCTCCCCCAGCACACTTCCCGGTGGGCATCCTGGGACCCCTGGCCATGGGTGGTGAGTTCATAGCAGCAGGGCAGGATGGCCCTTAGTCACAGGCAAATGTCATCTGTAGTGGATCGGGGTTCCACTACAGGGGGTTCTTTGGTGTCTGTGCAGAGACCCAAAGGGAAAGAGGAGTGGGGCCTATGGCTCAAATTCCACCCAGCCCATCCGACCTGGTATCTTGAGCTGTCTCCCCTCCTTGGGGGAGTAATTCAACTTTTGCCAGGATGTACAGTTGGCTGGCATTGCTGTCTTCTACCCAGTGGCGTCTCAGCTTCACAGGTGTGAAGATTCCTCTCTAAAGTGGCAAACCAGTACTTTTGCTTCCACATGTACTCAAGAAAGTATGTCTGACTAAAAGCTCTTAGGTACTCACGAATGCTTCTAAATGAGTTTGCCTTTTACTGCTCACAACCACAGCATACATCTACAAGATGTCCTATTCTCAGGCCAGGAGTCAAATGCCTATACTCCCAGCCCTCAGGAGGCTGAGGTGGGAAGATCGCCTTAGGTTCAAGGCCAGTCTGGACTACATAGCTCAAGACCAACTTGAACTCAACACCTACCCAGAAACACTTACTCCTATTAGCTGTGAAATAAGCGTGCCACCCTACCACCCCACAACCTCTTGCCCCCCCTTGCCACAACCTTCTTTCCTTGGAGCTCCCTCTGCTGGTCAGGGAGGGAATAACAGCGTGTAAGACTTGCTCAACGGGGACCCCAAACGGGGACTGAGAAATAAAGCCCCGTTCGAGAGTTTTTTCCCACAGAGAAGCTGAGGAAATAAGAAGCAGGGCTGGCAGAGCTGTACATGGGGCGGGGGGCATCAGTTTCTTTCTTGCCATCCTGAACATCCTTAATTTAGTGAATGCTCCATGGTCGTCTTGATAGTGAAAGAGGGCAGAGGCGGGGGCAGAGGCCTCGCATGCATGAGGCCCTGAGCTCAGTCCTCAGCCCTGAAAGGATTCGGAGGGTCTCCAGGGAGTGCTGATCTTCGTTTCGGAGTACCAAAGCATCACAAGGGGAATATGCGTACCATAGCAAACGAAGGGCATATTCCAAGAAGTTTGAAACAAGGAGAAATTTAAGACAAAAATGAAGATATGTCAAAACAGTATTCCTGGGGCTGGGGAGATGGCTCAGTGGAATAAGCGCTTCCCTGGCAAGCTCAAGGACCTGAGTTCGATCCCCGGTTCCACCAAAAACACCAGTATTCCTTGGCCACAAAACAGTAATCCTTCATAACAAGAGTGGCATTAGTCCAAGGTTGAACTGGGCCCTTGCTGAGCAGACATCCTTGTGGCTGGACCTTTTACATAAAGCTGTGGTGGCCTCTGCAAGCTGGTGGGGCTGGCAGAGTCCTTTGTGACAGCTGCTGTTAGGCAACCGTGTAAGAAGCTTCCTCCAGGGGCCGGGGAGATGGCTCAGTAAGATAAGTGCTTGACTGGCAAACACAAGGATCTGGGTTCAATCCCTGGTTCTGCAAAAAAAAAAAAAAAAAAGCTTCTTCCAGACCCCTGCGTCATATGCGGGCCAGTGGTTAAGCCCTGAGCTACACTTGGGCCCCTAGAGCGCCAGCGTCGCCTCTTTTGGTGTCCGCCCCATGCGCTCTCCTCTTCCACCCCATGTGGACTGCGCTGGGGCAGGCGGAAGCCCACTGCTCTCGGCTGCAGCCCCTCCAGGCCAGTGTGGCCAGCTGAGCTCACCAGGCCCCTCCTCCTCCCTCAGATCCACTCTCTCTGCTACAACGACTGCACCCTCTCACTCAAGAGCCCAGCCCGGGTCTTCGCCTACAACTTCTCGGCGCTGGCAAGCACGGTTTCCCTGGCTGGAACGCCAAGCTTCACTTCGAAAGGCCTCAAGTATTTCCATCACTTTACCCTGAGTATTTGTGGAAACCAGGTGAGGCTGCAAGCTGGGAGAACTGGAGAGGGGAGGCCAGCGGCTCCGAGGCCGGGGTGGACACGGGAGGGCAGCGAGGGCCTGGGGGCTAGAGGTTTCTTAAATGATTTCATTCCCTCAGAGCACTTTTTCTCCTAAAATTAAATAATCTAGACAATAAATGCTTAGAAAAATAAAAATGTTTAAAATAAGGTATTTCTGAAATTTTCCCCTACAAAATGATGCCTTGTTGAGTATCTGTACAAGGGTTTTAGATTTTGGATTTTCAGGTTAGATTTTTTAAAAAATAATTTTATTGAGAAACAAATAACAATGAGACAGTTTCAAAACCAATTAGTAGGACAGTTTCAATACTTAACACATTGCACACTGTTGTCCTACTGGTTATTCATTGTACAAGGTGCAGACATGATATCCTGTCCACAAACACTGATAGAACAAATCTTTCTATTCATTGAATTAAGAGAATGTAGCTGTGTATCTATCGTAACTATTTTGAATATACAGATACAAAATGGTTGTTCATTTGTATCCCCTTTTTTGTTTAGCTTTGTCAGAGTATTCCATTATCATTTAAATATTATAGGTGTGTGAATTCAGCAAAATATTCCAATATAGTCCAGTAGTCCATAATAGTAGTGGGTTTTTCATAAGAGGTTAGATTTACTCAACTGTTAAAGTATATGAAAATATTGCAACCCCCCCAAAAAAAAAACTATGAAAACAAAAGTACTTCTGGTTTCAAGCATTTCAGATAAGAGCCAGGCATGGTGATGCACAGCTATAATCCCAGCTCTCAGGAAGCTGAGGCAGGAGGGTCGCCTTGACTATGAGGCCAGCCTGGACTACAAGTGAGTTCGAGGCCAGCCTGGACTATATAGCAAGACATTGACAATAAAACAAAAACAAAACACAGGAAGAGTCAGGCATGGTGGCACCCACCTAGTGTCCTGGCTGCTCATAAAGTAAGAGGATTGGTTGGACCCAGAAGGCCAAGGTCAGCCGAGTAACACAGTGCGACCCCATCTCATTAAAAAAAAAAAGGGGGGCTTCAGAAGTTACTCTGCTTGTTACTCGTTTTCTAGCGGTTGGGATAAAACAGACAATCCTTAGTTCATATTCAAGTATCTTTGCTGACAGTAGAAAAGAAAATGACATGAAAGACTTTATGTGAAGGGGCCGGGGAGATGGCTCAGTGGAATAAGCACTTCCCTGGCAAGCACAAGGACCTGAGTTCAATCCCCGGTTCCGCAAAAAAAAAAAAAAAAAAAAAAAAACTTTATGTGAAAAGAAGATGACCACCAGCTGTTTCATGCTCCTGCAAATATTCTGGATCCAAAATCTGAAGGCAGGATGTGGGCGACCCTGCCACATGAGCCATGATGAGCGGTGGGAGTTTAGAGAGCTCACTGCCCGTTGCCATGGCACAAAACAGAGGCCAGAGGTGGACACAGGAGGGCAGCGAGCATGATTTAATTCCCCCAGAGGACTTTTTCTCCTAAAATTAAATAATCTAGGTGATGAATGTTTAGGAAAATAAAAAGTTTTAAAACAAAGTGTTTGGGGCGGGAGATATGGCTCAGTGGTCTAAAGCACCTACTTGGAACAAGCTTGGCAAAGCACAGGGACCGTGCTTCAATCCCCCAGCACCACATGCCAGCCAGCCCCGCCCCCTGGTGGGCTGAGCTGGCCACACACACACACACACACACACACACACACACACACACACACAATAAATGTTAAAAAAAAAAAAGTGTTTCTGAAATTTTCCCCTACAAAATGATGATTTGTTGAGTATCTGTACAAGGACCAGCCAGGACAGGGATGGCGAGCCTCTAGCGCTCTCTGACACACACACAACCAGCTGTGGCACACGTGCCACGGATCCACCACCACTAACTTAAGACACTGAGTTTGTGGCTCTGCATCACATAGCTGCTGCCCTTCCAAGCACACAAAAGCATCGGCAAGCTTCTGCAGAGAACATGGCAAAGAATAAAGGAGTCCATAAAAGATTAGATACGGGCATCTACCTTATTTTTAAAAGTCTTTGAAGGACTGGGGATATAGCTCAGTGGCACAAGTGCCTGCCTGGCATGCACAAGGTCCTGAGTTCAATTCCCAGCACAAAATAGATAAATAAATAAAAGTCTTTGAAGCGACTAAAGTGAATTCTTAGAACAAGTTGCCGGGTGTCATGGTGCACACCTGTTAGTCCCAGAACTTTGGGAGGCTGAAGCAGGAGGATTGCTGAGAGTTCAAGGCCAGCCTAGTCTACCTGGTAAATTCAAGGCTGTCCTGGACTGCATAGTGAAACCCTGCCTCAAGTCTACACACACACACACACACACACACACACACACACACACACACAGAAGTAACAAGTAGAGGTTATTCAGAAAAGATGACTGATGAAAATGAACCCCACATAGTGAAAGTTTCATTCAGTGAGTTGGGAGTGAGGTGAGGGTGGGGGGTATTGGATCTGATTTTCTTTCTTGGCTCCTTTAATATTTTCAGGGCTGGGCCAGGGAGATAGCTCAGTAGAATAAGAACTTGCCTGACAATATTTTCAGGGCTACTGTGTGTGGTCATATTATAGATCTTCAGCTCAAAGCCTACTTTATTATACAGTATTATTTCTGTGCTCAAGTTCTTTACCTGAAAAAATCTAGAAAAAGTGAATGGATACCAGATTTAGCTCTACTGTAATAAAATTTGTAACGCCAAAAAGTTATGCTTTAAATATGTAGGCCAGGAGCCAGCAAGATAGCTCAGCAGTTTAAGCATCTGCCTGGTAAGTGCAAGGTCCTGAGTTCAATCCCTGGTACCAAAAATAAAAAATAAGTACATAGTCCAGAGCTGGTGAGGTAGCTCAGTGGAAAGCGCAGGGCCTGGGGTTCAGTCCCCAGCACCACATGTCATGCTGGCCCCGCCCCTGGACACAGTGAGCTGGTCACTGAGACGCAGCGTGGTGGTGCACATCTGTAATCCCAGTGCTGGGGAGGCTGAGAACAGAAGGATCACTACAAGTCCGAACTGCATAGTGAGACCCTGTACCAAATAAATAAATAAATAAATAAATAAATAAATGTTTAGTCCATTTAAGTATTTAAAAAATTGAACAAATGATTTATTATTTATTTATTTATTTATTTATTTATTTATTTTTGCGGTACCCAGGATCAAACTTGGGACCTTGCACTTGCCAGGCAGGTGCTTATGCCCCTGAGCTATCTCCCCAGCCTAAACTTAACATCCTTGAAGGGATACGCCCTATATCACACAAGTCTAGGGAAGCCATCTCAGTTCCTACCTTCTTCCAGATTTCTGCAAAGTGTGATTGTTAAAGACTGGGGAAGGGAAACCTCTTTCTCTCTATGCACATATTTTCTTTTAAAAAATGGGAAGGTTCTAATTGCCCTCAGCGCCAGGGCACTGGCTACAGGGCCTGTTTTAACCCTTACTAGTCTGTCTGGAAAGTGCTTCTCATGTAAGCATGGTAGAATCGCAGCACCGGGGAGGCAAAAAAGGAATGTGAATCGGGCCAGATGTTCAAATAAATTTCACCAGCTGTGAGATCAGTTACACATTTCAGTTTCTATCTAAAAAATATATTAAGATACGATATAAATTAAGATAAAGAAGAAGGGCCAGGGATAGAGCTCCGTGGCAAAAGCACCTGCCTAGCAATCACAAAGTCTGAATTCAATCCTGGTACCAAAAAAAGAAGAGGAAGAGGAAGAAGTAGAGGAACACGCTTACCTGATGGGGCTGGTAACATGAAGAATTTCTGGGGACCCTGGAGCCAGAGCTCCAAAAGCTAGCACACATAGGTCTTATTTGTTTATTTTTGGGACAAAATAAACAATTTGGGATGGCCCTGTGCTCACTTTTGTAGCCCCAGGCTGATCTCAAACTCATAATGATCCTTCTGTCTCATCCTCCTGAGTGCGCACCACCAACCCAGTTCCTTGGACTGGTAGGTTAGAACTGCAATCTCACAACTTTTCTTGTATAGGATTTCCAGGTGACTTCAAGGACATGAAGAATTTCTGGGGACCCTGGAGCCAGAGCTCCAAAAGCTAGGACACATAGGTCTTATTTTTAGCAATTTAAAAATGGCAAATGTCTTGTCACTAGATGTGGGATGAATCTTTCTTTTATAACATACCCTTGGAAGGCGGAACTTTTAAATGTGACAAAAAACATTCCTTGTCCTTTTTGGGAAATTCCGCTCTGACCATTTGCTTCTTCCTACGCCTTCTCCTGCCCCATCCCCAATCAGGGTAAGAAAATGTCTGTGTGTGCTGACAATGTCACTGACCTCCGGATCCCCGAGGGTGAATCAGGTTTCTCCAAATCCATCACGGCTTACGTCTGCCAGTCAGTCATTATCCCCTCCGAGGTGACAGGGTACAAAGCCGGGGTATCCTCACAGCCTGTCAGCCTTGCTGATCGACTTGTCGGTGAGTAGCCCAACTGTTCTGGCTCAAGTGAGTGTGTGTGTGTGTGTGTGTGTGTGTGTGTGTGTGTAAGGTGAGACTTCCAGGCCAATGGTAAATGGCTTTCATGGGGACCTTACTCCTGACCTCTGTTAGCTGTGACATTTGATAAGCCTTTGGTTTGCTTTTTCATGAGCTACTCAGAGACATGATGAGATCAAGTGTGTTTGGATGCTCACAGGTAGTGAAAGAACTGAAGTAGTTGTGAGCTAATAGTACTACTGAGCACTAATTCGGAGCTCTAATTCTGCAGGGGTGTCAACAGACGTGACTCTGGATGGAATCACCTCTCCAGCGGAACTTTTCCACCCGGAGACCTTGGGGATACCAGACGTGATCTTCTTTTTTAGGTGAAGATGAGAGGCCAGCCTAATGCAAGTGAAACCTAGGGCTCTTCCACCATTTCTATCGCATCGCTCCCTTTAGCGCACCCCATGGCCAAGCTAGAACAAGTCTCAGGTCTAGCAGATCTGCCCATCATGAGTAAAGGCTGGTTGTTCCTAATCCCAACTGTAGGGCATGACTGGGCCAGGTCTGTCCTGGAGGCAGAGAGAATAGAAGATCTACACAGACTTCTCTCCCACCTTAAGAAGGCCCCAATGGCTACCAGCTTGCCTGTCCTTACCCAGTGTACTTCCTCCTTGACTGGATCTCCCCAGGCTTCTCTCCATAAATAGACCAAAGCCTGTATGTCAGGTAGGGCCCACGTCCTGACTTGCCCAGAGAGGGACTCATTCCATGTTGCCTTGACTTAGTGGCTCCCTATAACACACCAGGGTGACATTTCTTCCCATGGAGCTGGCTTTCTCTGCAGATCCAGTGATGTGACCCAGTCCTGCAGTTCTGGAAGATCAACCACCATCCGCCTCCGATGCAATCCACTGAAAACTACTCCTGGAATCGTGTCTCTACCACGGTAATCCTTACAAAGGGATACGACAAAGGCCATATTCCACCTTTGTTGGTTTCCTTCCAACCCAAGAGCCAGAGGTTACTGAAAAAGAGCAAAACAGACAAACAGTTTGAGATTCATTAATGGGTTCTTGGGAGTAGAGTCATTGCTCCACAACCTTGATCTTCACATAGGAAAAGTGCAAGAGACGGACGAGGCAAAGCTTCCCTTATGTCCCCGGACCATTATGGTGGCAGCGACCCAGCATGGTGGCTGACAGCTTTCTCTGACAGCCACATGATCAGCAGCTCCATTTACCAGCCATGTCACCATGTAACCATTTCTCATCTTCTCTAGGGCTGCTGGGTTCTTACCTGTAAAGTAGGCATAACAGTAAGCTCTCCCAGAGGGTTGTTTGGAGAGTTAGATGAAGCAAGGAGACTTTAAAGGATCTTCTTGGAGGCCATTGTCAGGACAGTACATGGTTAGGGACCCCAGGAATCTCTTAGGTTGGCCTCAATTCTGAGTTTAACAGCTCAGTGAACTAGATAAAGAACTTGCAGACAAATGGACCACGAAGAACGCTCCCTCTTTGTATGCCCGCATAATGCCAACCCGCGCCTTGCCGGGCACTGGTGCCTTGAAGAGCGCAGTGTGGGAAATGCTGCTCAGAAAGCACTGGTCAGGGCTCCAAGGAACCAAGCAGAGCGTCTCGACCTTGCAGTGCTGTCAGAGCACAAAGTCCCCATTCTTACCATTGTAAACATCACAGTAAGGTACAAAGCAGACATCCTTCCTGAACTCCTCCTAGGCCCTAATCCACACCCACACCCCCCCCCAAGCTGCACCAAAGTGCCTGTTGCAAAACGTCACATGTCCCCAGAGAGGACAGGAGCCTCTGAGGGGCTGCTAAAACTTCCACTCACCTCATGTCAGCAAAAGCATAAGCAGGAAGAGAATCAGGGAAATGGAAGACCGAAGACTGAGTTAAGAAGGGGAAGGGTCCCCGTAGAGCACTTTGGGCAGAGGGAAGATGACTCAGGCAAGCCATAAAGGCAGCGAGCCTCCAGTGAGACCCTCTCACCTGTCAGGCAAGTGAGCTCTCCTTTCTGCTCTGCTAGCATGTGCTCTGATGGGACCTGTGATGGCTGTAACTTCCACTTCCTGTGGGAGAGCGTGGCCGCCTGTCCACTTTGCTCCACTGCCGACTACCACACTTTTGTCAGTAGCTGTGTGGCTGGGATCCAGGTAGGTTGCCCTCTGACTGGGGACTTCCCAGGAGAGAAAGGGTGTGAGCTCTGAGTTCCTTGTTTTTCTTCCCGACAGAAGACCACTTACATGTGGCGAGAACCAAAGATATGCTCTGGTGGCATCTCCCTACCTGAGCAGAGGGTCACCATCTGCAAAGCGATCGATTTCTGGCTGAAAGTGGGCATCTCCGCAGGCACCTGTAGCGCCATCCTGCTCACTGTCCTGACCTTCTACTTTTGGAAAAAGAATCAAAAGTACATGGGGAGGGCGGGTCTTAGTGCTCGTGGGTGGGTGGGGTTGGATCATTGAGCGGGCAGACCATCTGAAAGCAGAAGTTTGTGGAGCTTTTCCCTGGAGTTGGCCACAGATCCTGTGGCTCTGGCCAGGGACTTGTTGGACCACTAATCAGTGTACACCTCAGTTATCGTCACTCCTGAGCAGGGATGGTGCCATGTGGCAATCTATAGATGACTGTTAGATTCGGAAAAACAAAGCAAAGCAAAGCAAATCCTTCAGCTAGAAGTGCATTTCTGTGGTAGAACTCTTACCTAGCTAGCATGCAAGAAACCCACTAATGGGTGTGTGTGTGTGTGTGGAGAGAGAGAGAGAGAGAGAGAGAGAGAGAGAGAGAGAGAGAGAGAGAGAGAGAATCCCAGCATTTGGGAGGCTGAGGGCGAGGGGTGGGGTGGACAGTTACAGTTCCACAGTACTGGACTGTATTAGTATGTAGCTTAGTGGCGCAGCCTCTGGCTAGTCTGCACAGGACTCTAAGTTCAGTCCTTTTCAGCCGCAGGAGGAGGAGGAAGAGGAGGAGGAGGGAGGGAGAGTTTGTTAGCCAGGTATGAGGATATATACCTGTAACCCCAGCTACTCAGCGGAGCGAGGCAGGAGGATTGCAAGTTCAGGGCCAGTGAAGATAGCACAGCAAGACCCTGTTGCAAAGTAAAATTTAAAATGGGGGCTTGGGATGTAGAGTGGTAGAGCTCTTGCCTAGCGTGCATGAAGCCCTGATTCGATTCCGTCATACTATAAAAAGCAAAATAACAAAAATGCAAATAATGTTTTCATGATTTCAGTATATTAAGTTATGAAATAAAAAAAATGGCCAGGCGAAAAGAAAAAAATATCACCAAGCTGGCAGCTAAGATTCCTTCCTCATGCCCAGCCTAATTCCACTTTGTTAGGCTTCAGTTTCCTTCTCCATAATATGGGAGAACCTGTCTATAGCCCACCCTATCTCTTTCTTCCTTCCTTATCCACGCATCCTGGGTCTTGTCTTTCCGTCTGCATGTCACAGACTTGAATACAAGTATTCCAAATTAGTGATGAATGCGACGCTAAAGGACTGCGACCTCCCAGCAGCTGACAGCTGCGCCATCATGGAAGGAGAAGACGTGGAAGACGAGCTCATCTTCACCAGCAAGAAGTCTCTCTTTGGAAAAATCAAATCGTTTACCTCCAAGGTAGGAGGCCAGGCTCTGAGGTCAGACTGGAGGGTCTAAGACCTACCCCAACCCCTAGGATGCTGGGCGGCCTGGCGCTGCTCAGGCACCGCTGCTCTGCGCCCAGCCCCACCCTCGGCTGTCCCCCCGCTGAAAGCAGCACCTGCTGCTTCTCTGTTCTTGTCCCCGGGGCCCAAGGCTGCTGGCAGCAGGCTCCTCTCTTCCAACATGCACTCCACTGAGTGAACTGTTTGAGCCTTTTGATTTCTGGAAGGAGTATGGAATTATGCATGCTGTTCATGATCATCTTCGCTGCCCCTTTCAGGGAGAGGCCATCTCTAGGATTGACTTCATTATTATTATTATTATTATTATTATTATTATTATTATTAATGTACTTGGTACTCACTGTGCAGCTTAGACTCGTAGTGATCCTCCTGTTTCCCGCCTCCCCAGCGCTGGGATTACAGGTGTGTGCTAGCACACCCGGACTCGGTGGCCCACTCAGCACGCCCGGGGGCGGGGCCAGCGTGGTTCGAGGTGCCAGAGATCAAAGCCCAGTACCTGCACTTGCCTAAGTGGGCGCTTATTCTGCTGAGCTATCTTGCCAGCCCTAAGAATTGACTTCTGATTGAAGTGAGGCTGGCCTTTGACCAGCGGAGGGCGCTGTCCCCCAGGAGTCTTGGCCAGCTCGGCGGGCCCTGAGTCAGAGCCGAGTCTAAGGTGTTCCCGCTGAGCAATTCCCAGCGAGGGAGGGCTGGCCGCGTGGGTGTTGAGTGAGTGTGAAGCTCATAAACGCGATCCAGACACCACTGTTGCTGGGCGTGGGGCCAGCGGAGAGCATCGAACAGCTCCTCAGGGCTGCCCCGGCCTCGCCTTGCCTGGTCCCATGCTTCTTACTGCCGCGAACCAGTTCACCCAAACAGCTGTGGGCAGGGTGTGGTCAAGGGAGGCGACGACGGTGTGGGCCTGGTGGAGCAGGGTGGCGGTGAGGTGTGTGGGCCCCGGACCTGTTCCCCTTGTGTGGCATGCCAGGGTGACTCCCTTGGCCTCTTTGGGCCTTGTTTTGTTTTTAACCAGTGGGAGAAACAGCTCACCTATGGGCTCCTAGAGGCTATCTGGGATTTGTAGAATTCAGCAAAGAAGCTGAGCAGGGAAATGAAGATTTTTCTTATTTTCTGGCTGAGCCACAAAGGAGCAGGAAGGGTAGGGAGCGTCTCGTCTCTATTTCTACAAAGCCACTGGAAGCTGGAATTCCACAAGGGTTCCTTCTGTCACCTCTTTCTCATTTCTCTTCTTTGTCCCCCAAACATGCACCCCACCCCCACCCCATGCAGCAGCCAGCTCCTGTCACCATCTCTCTTTCAGAGGACTCCTGATGGGTTTGACTCAGTGCCACTGAAGACATCCTCAGGAGGCCCGGATATGGACCTGTGAGGGCCCGCCCGCCTCACCCGCCTCCTCGGCGTGGCATATCACTTTGCAGCCTGTGTGATCGGGAGCCAGCATCCTGCACTTCCTGCTGCTGGAAATCTCTTCATTGTGGCCTTATCAGAAGAAGTTTGGATTTCAGATCTTTGTTTTTTATAGAGTCCCCAAACCTCCCATTCTGCTTGTCTCAAACCCGCCAAATATACCCACCCTTTGTATATTATTCCCTTGCTTGAATCTTGTTTCCTAAAACAGACCAGCCACCAGAGCCATAGCCTCCTCCAACCATAATTCTTATAGCTCTGGAGTGAAAATATTTTTCTCTTGAGGATAAAAGCAACACACTGGAGGGCAGGAAGAGCTGGGAGTTTTCCGGGTCGTATACCCTCTGCTTGCGATCTCGTTTCGGGAGGGACTGGGTGAGCAGGAGGTCGGGGCTTGGGGACAGGTGATCCTCATGGAAGCCTGGATTCACTCCTAACGGGCAGCTCACACTGCCGGCCATGGACAGTCAGAGGGCAGGCCACGGAAAGTCTGGGAAGGAAGAGGCTCGATAAGCACAAAGAGAGGCAAGAAAGAACGGGTTGTTTGTTCTGTTTTATAACCAGGTACCTCATTTCGTTCTCCTAAGTAATAAATATATTCTCACTAAAGCCAAAGGAGAATGTTCATCCAGACAATGCCAAAGCCCTGGTGGATCAACTCTCTCAATTATTTATTTACTTACTTTTATCTCTCTATGACACTAAAGACTTAGGAGGCCAAGGTTTCAGTGGGCCCGTTCTGGGGGCTGCAGCCCACAGTGGCGCCGACCAGGGGCAGTTGTGAGGTCTGTTCCTGAGCTCAGCTTATCTGCTGAGCTGCAGAATTGAAAATTTGTAGGCTGGCCGGGAGGGGAGCTGAATCCCAAGCCAAGTCCGCAGCAGCAGAACCAGACCTGTCTTCCAGGAGGCAAGAGTAGGGGAGCTTAACAAGGGACTCCCTAAGCTGGGGTGATTCTCACCGCTGAGCTCCTGTCCTTACATTTTAGAACTTCTCATTTCCTTTGTGCACCACAATAGGACAAAGAGATCTGGCCTCCACTTCTAACAGTCCCTTGGAAAGGTGACAAGAATGGGCATCCTCTTGGCCGCTGTCTCTTTCATTCTAGCTATAACATGTAAACTTGAAGTATCTAGAAGGGTAAAAGCACAGCAAGATTTTCAGTTCCTTTTTTTCTGTTACTGGCAGGCCTCCCTCCCTTATCAGGCTAGACTAACCTGGCCCAGCTGTCGGTGGTTTGTACCTGGGCCCCTCTTCCATTCACCACGTGGTGACCAGATGGTCAGAATAGAATGGAGAGGCATTTCTGAGCAGTTTGTCTGTGAACAAAGTGGTTTTCCCATCTGCTTAGCTGCCATTGCCTTGACATTAGTCCTATAAAAATCAATGTGAAGGGGAATCCCATCAACATCGATGATGGCAGGGAGTCCCTTTGGCTCAGTGAATCTAGATGCTGGGCCTGAACTTACTGTGGAGTCCAGGCTGACCTTGGATAATTAGCAGTCCTCCTCCCTCAAGCTCCCTAGTGCTGGGGTTATAGACATGCACCACTGTGTCCCGCTGGATGGTTTTCTTGGATAAGCAGATCTCCCCTGCCTTTGTGGTGATCGGCGTCTCAGCACCAGTGGCCAGGCTGAAATTTCTACTGGGGGATGCACACAGGTAGCCCTGACCCCAGCCTTCTGCAGAGTTAGTGACACCTGGGAATCTGCCACACAATAAATAGCTGCCTTTTGTGACAAAGGCCACAGAAAGGGCTTAGAAAAACTTTATCCCTATAACCTCTTTATTCTGCTCCCTTGAAATTGATTGTCCCCAAAACTCCACTGATATTTTTTTCTCACCAATTTAGTTATAAGGCTCTAAGGATATCCTTTTTATTGGGTTGATTTCTAAGGGAAGGGAGTCCCCACCCTTTACTCTCTTAAAAAACTATATGCTTTAGATTTTTAAGAGCTCTATTGAACTCTATTCATACCATGCAAATTTGCCTGTTAAACATACACAATTCAATGTCTTTTAGTGTACTTTCTTTTCTGTTGTTGTTGTTGTTGCCATTCTACCCTTCCTAGACAAGTGCTCTACCACTGAGCACACCCCTAGCCCTGCACATCCACTGTAGAACAGACACTCATTAGATCTGCTATGGGCAAAGGCTTTCGTCCTTGACCCAGGACCACAGTGGTTTGCACAACCTATTGAGGAAGACCATGTAGGCTCAAGAGATCAAACATTAAATCTCATTTGGTGACCTGGAGTCCCACGACCCAAGAAGTTCTTTCATCCTGTAGTCCACACCTGGGAATACAAATATGATTGTGGTGGATCTAAGGACCAGAGGATTTCTTATGCCAACAAAACATTTTTGGGTGTCTAACTATATATTAAAGAGAAGATGGACTATATTTATACAACAGAGACTTTGTAATAGATTTTTCAGCTTTGTGAAATCATTGTTTTTCTCATCAGGACTGGTTGGATTTCCTTTTTATTCTGTATTCCAAACATGTATAGTTTATTAGGGGATGGGTTATTGGCATGTCACATTTGGGGGGTGGGGTTGAAATAAAAATGTACTTTTTGAGTTGTTTTTCTTGAACGTAGTGGGGTGGCCGCATGGGTGGGTGGGAATGGTAAGTGTCCTTGAAGCCTGAAAAGAAGAGAAGGAGGAGGAAGAGAAAAGAACAACAGACTTCAGAGAATACACACCCAGGCCAGTACTCTCACCACTGAGAAATCAGTGAGCAAATCCTCAGTTTCCACAATAATCAAGTGCATCTGGTGACCCTAAGATTGAGTAAGGAGCAAAAAAAGTGTCACACAAAGCACTCAGCATGCTAGCTCGCTTCCTTCGCAGGACACGCTTCCCTTGTGGCCTGAAGCCAGTCACAGAATAACAGGTCCACTGATACAAGTACAGTTAGCTGCTTGGGGCCGGAAGTGGATTATTGCAGATTAGATGCAGAGAAAGTCCTAGAGGTTGTTCAGGCTCTACCACTTCCCAAGGTTGCTGGATTGTCTAGCTTCAATATTTTCCTTCAAATCGAGGGCACTGGTCTTCTAAAAATAATTCTCTCAGCTGTTGTGTCTGGGCCGTGCATAGACTATTAAGGGGGTATAGCACCAAGCACCAAGTTATCTACGTCACAGTAATCTGTAGCCTCCAGACCTCGCCACCTCCTGCTCCTCCCCACATAGAAGTGTCTGATGCTTCATTACGGCTGCAGTCGGGACCGGTCATCATCCGGCTGCACACTCATCTGTACTCTGAAGGCGTTGTTCATAACACACATCTACTCTAATTGAATGACACCTGGGTTATACTAGCTGCTTCGTATTCTGAATATCCCCCTTGCTTGTAGGATGAGGTCCAAACTCTAAGCAGGAAAGTAGGAAAGGAAGCGCATTCATTTGGCATCTGCGTTTCAATCTGGCTGAGTACTTTCAAGGCACCGCCCTAGTTAGTTCTCAGAACAGCCTGCGCAGGCGCTGTCCCCTTTCCACGCAGAAAGAAATGCCAGTCATGTGGCCAGCAGGGTCTCCACAGCCCACGCTGTCTGCTCATCCCACACTGCTCGGACTCCAACGCCCTGCGCGCCTGAGCACACGCTCCCCCACCCGCCCCGCTTCCCTGCCAGACCCCACCCAGCCTTCCCGGGCTCGCCCGCTGCAAGTGCAATAGCGAGACAGCGAGATATCGCATAGGAATTCAGCTGGTAATTTGCATAAATTCGACTATGTATTAGGCTGTATCCCAATACAACAAGCTATGGATATAATCACACTTAAAATCGGTGCTGCGAGGTGAAAATGTATGATTTTAAAGACTACCCAATCGCTAGTTTTAAAGAGGCTAGCGCCTGCGAGATGGCTCACCGGTCTGGAGCGCCTGCTTAGGCAAGTGCAGACAAGTGCGCAGGGACCGCGGTCCCACCCACAGCACACACGCTGTGCCAGCGTGGTACATAAAGTAAAAAATGGAGAGGAGAGCAGGCAGCTCGATGTAGTCCTGCCTGTCTGTAATCGCAGCCCTCTGGGAGGCTGAAGAAGAAAAATCACAAATTTAAGTCCATCCTAGGGAACTTAGTGACTTAGGGAGATCCTGCCTCAAAATTAAAAATACAGGGCTGGAGAGATGGCTCAGTGGTCTAAAGCACCTACTTCAAACAAGCTTGGCAAAGCACAGAGACCGCGGTTCGATCCCCAGCACCACATGCCAGCCAGCCCCGCCCCCTGGTGGGCTGAGCTGGCCACACACACACACACACACA